GCTTGCAGTTACTGGTCGATCCATACAGCCTGATCCACACCTGTCCTCATAATGGGACAATCAAAACAGAAAATTGAAGGCAATACTTGGCACACTGCGCGGGCAGCAAGATTCCAGCTCACCACGAGTGGAAATCGGCGTGCTTGAACTCGTTCTTGAAAGCTTAGAACGATAAAGTGCTTCAGCCGAAAACAAGAGAGGGCTTAGTGGAGAGAATGGATGTTTCATCTGGTAAAAAGCCTCGGTTTAAGGTGCATATCAGAGGGAGCGGAGGAGGCAGACACGGGAGGGAACGTGATTCAGAGCTCAGAGACTGATGGCAGCTGTTGATGGGGCGAGTGCTTAGCCCACAATGAGATGGAAATACTATGACTGTGGATCGGAGTGAAAGTAACTTTTCTTTTAAAGATGTGTAGGGAAAAAAATAATGTGAAGGACAAGCTTTTTTTTTTGTGCTTTTTTTTAAAAAAGGGGATTTTACAGGTTTAAATACATTGTGAAGCTTTAATTTTACGTGGGCTTTCAGCTGTGGGCAATGCGAAGGTGATTCATTTTGGGTTACATTGTAAATTGTACTTTAGCATGCAGTGAGCAAGTTTCTTTTTTTATTGAGTGAAAAAAAAACTTCAAACGCTTGTGCAGTAGAAGTGCATAAAAAAAAATTATACTATAAAAAAAATCGTAAGTTCTGGTCTTGGGAATTCCGATTTGATCCACAGTGTTCAAAGATCGATTTAAGTTGTACATCTTTGCACATCTGCATTACGCGGGCGCTCGTCCACCTTATATATTCTAAATAATACTTTTGATATTACTTTATTTCAGAAAAAGCCAGGGAGCTAAGCTAACCTAATACTGGTAGTTTAGGTGCACAAACCTAATTTGGCTATGGAATTAAATTGTTTTAAATAAATGTTCTATATGTTTACACTCTCTATTCCTCTTGTCACCTAATTTAAAACAGAATTTCTAAATTGTCTGAATAGAAAATTTGGTTTCTGAATCAAAAATTATTTCAGAAAGTTAGTTTTGTCACCAACAAGACTTAAGAATTAATGACTTGCAATGTATCCATATGATTAGCATTTTCAAATATGGCTCTTTTCTTGGGAACCACTGTTTGAGGGGACCAGCACTATCAAAATTCTTTATGCCTAAGTCCAACTTTTATTTTTTCTTCTGGCTCTGATTAGTTGTTTTGGAGAGAAGGCACAGGTTATCTGTCTCACAACATACATGGTAACATTTCCAACAAAAATGTAAGAACATATATTTTTTTAAAAATTAAAGTTACATACTGCAGTTTTAAAGCAGTTTTTATCGACGCTACCAAATACAACTCGTGTCCAGTGCTTTCCCTGCTGCTGACCCAGATTCCATAGAAACAGGGTGAAAAGGAGAGACAACCTTATCTGTGAAGTAATTTCCTCTGTCTCTGAGGCAGGCGATGACAGCGCTGCCCTTTATGGTCACATCCAATATTTCAGTGTGGAAACAGGCTCACAGGCCGGGGACGGCAGTACCTTTCCGACGTCTTTGAAGGTTTTAATATCGGTACGGCGCTGCAGGCTGTGAACAAGCTGGGATGGCGAAAACACCAAACCCATCAAGTCCAACAGAAAACAACAACTGCTTTCAATTACGTTCAAGATTACTTTTTTCTAAGTACTGTACCACTTTTTCTACTTTGGATTTTATTTTGGAATTGACATCAGACTGAAATACATTGAGGACCTGCTACTTTATCCTGCTAATTCTGACGCCAATTTGGCTAAATAATTGTTAGATTACTTTGTATAAAATACATTTTTCTGAACATCGTTCTGTCTCTTTAAATGCGTTGGAACACCTTGTAATTTCCTGAGATCTTTATAGAAGATCTTTCTGGGTTTTCTCCCACCAATTTTGCATATCCAAAGTCTGATATTTTTGCTCATTCTTCTTCACAAAAGTGGTCAAGGTCAGTCTGACTGAATGGAAATCAAATGTGATCCTCAATTTTCAAGTCTTGCCACAGATACAATGTCACAGTAGCTGATTTTTCTAGTGACACGGCTAGTTTAGTGTAGCTTAACTGCATACAACTTTATTTTTGGCGCTGTTATGCTAACTCTTAAGGTAAATTATTGAACCATTATCACGGTTCAGTAATTTAATTCTACACGTTGGAAACAACTTTTTAATTCCCCCCTTTCTACTTTATGACGAGTTTTTTTTTGTGCAGTAGTTTGAGGATGATTTTTCTTATCTTTTGACATAATATACATTACTTTTGAGGACAACGGGACCTCAGAAGTAAAACTTTCATTGGAGATGTCAAAGAGAGAAAATAGTGAGACGCACGGTCAAGTCTGCATTGCAATCGCCTCATTCATAATGAAAGATAAAAAGTTTGGAGACAGCTCCCTGCCTGGCGCCTTTCCCTCGTTGGATAACAAAGAGCAAGAGAGGCTGTGATTGGAATACAGAGAGAAATGTGCTGTGCGGGGCGTCCAGGGTGTCAAACTCATATAGATACTTCCAAATCCTTTTGTGATTTAGTTTTATCTTTGCTGTCAAATCCTTGTTGCCTTGAAAAACATTTCTTGTTGTTGTATTAACCTTGCAGATCAGTTCTGGTTCTGGTCTAGTCTGGATCCCCAGAACCAGAAGCGAACGTGGAGAAGCAGCATTTGGTTTTTATGTGCCACTAATCTGAAGCAAAGCAAAATTTTGTCAGTATTCCTCTTATGTCAAAAAAACGCACAATATTGCAACGGTGCTGTTTCCGTGAAATAAGAAATAACATTAAAATCACATGTGAATAAGTTTGCTCACACGATAAGTCGTTAAAAACATGTCGCATTGTGATCCTCCTGCTTCCTGTTGTCCTCTTTTTGTAGTTTTCACCAGTGGCAACTGGCTGTTTCCACTGCAGTTTTGCAAAATAAACCAATTTTGATATCTCAAAATTGGTTTATTGGCTTGTTTTCAATAAACTTTTTATTGGAAACTTGCCCCTTTTTTATTTTCCTTTCCAAAACTGGCATGTTTCCATGAAGCAAATTTATTGTTGTAAAGTCAAATTACACAATTACATAGTGATTGGAAACACGGCGAGTGTAGAAGTCACAGGATTAACCAAGAAGAAGAAATTAGTAACCTGTAGTTTTACTCTCAACAGAAAATACAGTCTAACTTTAAAAACACAAAATATAATAAAAACATACATACCACATAGTAATGGAGAATCTGTCTCCATTGTTTACTTCCAGCGCCTTCTAACAGTGACTGTGTAAAGAAAGGATGGATGAAACGACACTGAAAGAAAGAGAAGAGAGGAAAAAGATGAATGGAAATGGTGATTGATTTGTCAGCTGCGTTGCCCCGGCAACCGAAACCCAAGTCACAGCAGGAGATTTCTGATTCTTTTTTCCCATCGTTGCCTTTTTTTTTTAAACCCCCTTAGGTGTTTGCAGTGAAGATCCAGGATGAGACTTGGGGGTCTCACTGTGCGCAAACAGGCTGCATTCCTGGTGCGTCAAGCTGGACAATAAAAATAACGGAGGTTATGGATGAGACAAAACGCGTGATTTGCTACAGCGTTGATTACTTACCATTTACGTTTCCAAAGGGTAAAAATATGTCAGTTAAAGTTTAACTCTACATTACTTTGTATTATACAGAATAAATCATAACACAACATAAAATAAAGCAGAATGAAATAAAGAAATGAAAAGAAAAGTTTGCACCAGGCATTTGTATTCTTGATGAAAGTGCAGATGGAGACATTCAAGAAGGGTTTAGCAACATGACGTAATCTAATGAAAGCACATCTTTTATGACTGTTGTATGTATCCTAAATATTGAAGGCAGATCTTTTTGAACCAAGCAGGCGCTTTCAGATCAGATCAGAGACAAACACACACCCAGATCTCCTCAAGCGGATTTCTTTAATGAGACAGTAGCTGTGTTTCCATTACAAATGTGGCCAAAACTCTGTCGATATTCCGCTAATGTGGACAAAAACACAATTTTGCAATTGCAGAGATTCCATCAAATAAGAAACACAGTTAAAAATCACACATGAATACGTTTGTTCACAGGATAAGTAAATGAAAAACATGTTGCACCATCGTCCTCCAACTACTGCTTGTTTTGTGGTTTTAGCCATGATCAACAACCTCCGACTGTTGATCATGTGACTTTCGTGATGCAAAAGAAGTTGTTTCCTTTGCTGTTTTACAAAATAACCCGTTTTGATGCTTCCAAAAAAAGAAAAAAAACAAAACAAAAAAAAAAACACCTCATCCTTTCACCAAAACTTTTCTTTTCCTTTTCTTTTCAACAACTCTTTAATTATATGTGTCGTTGCAACTCATATAATTAAAGAGTTGTTGAATATGGTGATGGCAAAGGGAACCAACAACACTAGCTGCGTTTCCATGGACCAAAAAAAATTGCACAATTTGACATTTGTAAAATAAATTAGCTCACTTCCCAATTTTGAGTTTCTGTTAAGAAAAGGAAAAGTTTTGGTGAAAGGATGAGGTGGTTTTTCTTTCTTTTCTTTTTTAAACTGGATTTGGACTTTGACTGGGCCAGTCTAACACATAGCTGAGCCTACTGGGTTTCTTACATGTAGCTCCCATCAACTGCAACCTGCTTCCTTGTTTCCAAAAAAAAAAAAAAAAAATATCCACACGGCATGATGTTGCCACCACCATGGTAGCTCTCTTTAGTGTTTCTCTGTTCTCTTGCCTTTTATGCCACACAGCCACTGTTTCGCCATACCTCATTAAGCTACACCAATTCCACATAGCGGGAGCTGCCAAAATACAGGATATGAGGAAATGTCAGATATTATCCTCTGGCAGCCTTATGTAACCCCTGAGCGTATGTCAGAGATAATCCTCTTATAGGGGAGAAGAGTTGCACCAATAGAGAACAAAACACAGTTTGCCTCTTCTGTCCCCTGCTTTTACTAATGAAAATTGAGGATTTTTTTTTTTCTTTTGCAGGAGCGATGCTGCTGCTGCTGAGTAATCCATGTTGGATGACAAGCCTCTGATCTCTAATCTATGATTACTTTGATGTTCAGAACGATATCCTGTTGGATAAACACGTGTTTGGGAAATAAAATGGACCTACAGGAATGTCCGCAGCACATTGCCGGCCACAATGAGAGTGGTGAGAGAACAGCAGTCAGTAAAAATGTTCCTGAAATATAAGGTCACAACTCAGTCACAAGAAAACACCAACAGTTTGTGCTAGCGCTATTGTATAAAGATTAAATTGTCGCCTCATTTATTCCCCCCCCCCCACCCCCCCAAAAAAACGGAGAGGAGGACGTGCGCCACTAATGATCTTCCTACGTGAAACATTCGTCTTGGATTTTATAGTACCACGTGAAACATTTACTGAGACTTCGAAATTATTTTAATAATAATAATAATAAAAGCTGACTCATGTGAAAGCATCAAAATTAAATCAGCTAAATATTTATCATTTAAAATAATATAGTTTGACCTCTAAATTGACTTCTTTTTAGAATGACTTGTTTTGCAATTGTCTTGAAAGATATTACTCTAATAACATTAGCATCAATTTCAACATTTAATAAAAAATAAAACAAAGAGACTCAAAATAAATAATGTTTATTACTGCAGGTATTAATCTGAGCCTCTGTTTACAGCAAACTGTAGAAAGTACCACAGCAGCATCAATAGAAGAAACCTCATCTATGTGACTTTTATTGTTATTGCACTACACTACAGTGGAGCGTACGGCCTGACATTCATTCATTTCAACATTTTATTTACAATAAAGCCAAAAAAAAAAAAAAGTAAACTCCTAAAACAAGGAGAAATGTAAACAAGGTTTATCATTCGTTACGCTCCGCAGAGCAGCTCCAGTTGCCTACAAAGGAATAACGTTTTATTCTTGCTTGTAATCTACATTCAGGAGCTGAAGCCAAATACTGCTAAAAGTCTGAACAAGAGAGAAAAAGTTGCAAAAATGGCTGCTAAAAGTCCCGTGTGCTGAGGAGTTCTGAGGCAGAGGCTCCATGGTCGCTCTGTGTTGGATGCAGTTCTGTAATTGTCCAACAGGAGGTGCTGGTCTAACATGGCAGGAGGAAGACTTGACGATCCAGTACATGCAGAACTCCTCCACTGTAAAAGAAAAAGAAAAAAAATAAATAAATTGAAAGCCTGGAAATGAGAAAAAGCTTATTTTAAAAAATCCTCTATGGAGCTAAATTGGGGCCATAAAGTTTATTGAAAAGACAAGAAAAGAAAAATCAAAATGAAAGAGATTTGAAACCGAAATGTTCAAAATGACATCAGATTCAAGATTACTTTTCAATTTCAATTGCTTTTTTCAACAAGCTTTATGGCCTTAATTTAGCTCTCTATAATGACCATCAAATATTTGGAAAAAAACAAACAAAATAAATAAATAAATAAATAAATAAATAAATAAAACTAATGTTGGTCTGAAATAGACGACTTCATATTTTTTACTTCTATTTTTCTTGAATTCAACTGCAGATATTTTTTTATGTTTTAGCATTAGATTCAAATATTTATTGAATCATTTCATAGAAAAAATTTGCAATCATTTCAGGAATGGAAAAATCGTTTGAGGGGTGTGTGGTGGTTGCTGTGTATTTATGTCCTTCATCGACCGATCTATAATTGTAGTCAGTTCAGTCTGGAACAATGCAATAAAAAGCCAAAAATCACTTCTGTAAGCCATTTTTGGCCTTAAAAGTGTTAAAAGGAAGTATCTGACGCCATATGAAAAAAATAGAGGAAAAAATATTGAAAATGTAATTGACTTAGTTTTAAAAATATAAAAAAAAAAAACCCAACAGAACACTAATGATCTTACAAAGACAATAATTACTTTCTTTTACAACCAATCCAACAATGTAGCAGACAGTTGTATTCAAGGCCATTCCTTATGGTGGGCCCTGTCTTTCTTCTTTTTCTCATCTTTCTCCTTCTGCAATCGCTCCAACTCGGCCTCATACATCATCTCCTGGATCAGGTACTTCTCTCGGCGCATCCGGTCCCGCAGGTCCTTGGGTAGGTCCGGGATTAGGTACGCAATCAAGGTCTTTATGGCAAAGACCATATGCTGTGGAAACGGAATCAGAATTCAGAGAGCCAGATCTCTGTGATGTAAATTAAACCCCATTTTCAGTGAAATGTGTCAATGAACTCGACTGCTAAGCTAATACTGAACACATGAGGAATAAAAAATATTGGAATAAAAATAAAAGCACATTTTTTCAGATTCTTGTTTGGAACAAGAACAAAATAACACAATCAGAATCAACACAAACAGACCTCAAAAACAATAATGAACGCCAGGCGGGCTGCCAGGACGTGCCAGAACTGCAGAGTGTAGGTGTATGGCTCAGGTGAGTCTGGAGGCTCCCTGTAATCCCGATACCTATTGGGTAAGGTCAAACAAACAAAAAAGACATTCATTGAGGTCATACAAAAAACACTTCCATTTGTCTGATTTCTCCTACTATTTGGAAAGACATATTCTGAATTTGTATTTGGAAATGCAAAATATTAGAGATGCACCAAAAAATAAGCTACAGAGTTGAAAACCCAGTCCTTTCCCGATCGTTAAAACACACCATACCAACCAATTTGTGCTAACCATAATACTCTTCAGTGTGGACGTTGTCGATGAGGGAAGAAGATTTGATATTATTGCTTTTCAGCATTGGTGAGGGGTGAGAAGACTCTTAAATTAATTATTCATTTAAAAATGTTTCTAGCATTTTGGATATCTTAGAGTTCAAAACAGGATCAATACAGCGACAGAATGATTGATGTTTATATGTAGTTGGTTTTGCTAGTTAAGAAAAAAAATAGCTGAAGAAGGGTTAAAATGTCAACTTCAATTGACAATGTGTTGCTAATCAAAAATAGCAAAGACCAGAAATCGCCACAGAACTCTAATTGTTGCATCTCTAAAACATATTTAAAACATGTTTTGAGGCTTCCCCTTTTTTTCAGGTGTTTCGGGCACATCCACACAGATTACAAGGTCCTTTAAACTTCACCTGCAGTACTTCACAGCTTCTTCAAAAAGTTCAGAACCATTGGTTCTTGGCTGGGATCTCTTCTCAAAGTCAGAAACTCGGAAAACAGACAGACTGGCATTTACATAACCCATCATACACCTGGGAAAAAGAAAAGAAATACCACTTAACATATACTGAAACTGACGTCATACACCATGCAACATGGAACAAAGAGAAAAGACGAACTCTTATGAGGTAAGATAACTCTTACCCCTCCCCGGCTCGACCCTGACCGGCACATGGTCCATACTTGTAGGCATAAACGAGACGAGGGATGAAGTCCGAGGTGACTGCGATGACAAAGGCGTTGGTGATGACGGACAAGATGCCGATACCCTCCAGAATGCCATACCAGATTCCTGAGTCAAACAATAGTTAGACACCAAAATAAAGCGTCTTTTCACAGAAGAATTTATAGCCTTTTCCTTACCAATGTCTTTGGCTTGTGATGGAAGAGGTCGCCGCCACTGGGTGACGAACTTGTAGGCGTCTAAACGGATCTCGATGATGTTGTTGATCAGCGCTAAGAGAGGAGCCAAAGGAAATGCGGCCACGAAGATGGTGGTGAAGCCGAACTGCAAAACTGAGACAAAGACAGCACGTCTTCGTTGATCGGTTGAACGGTGCGGTAGGTGTAGTTTCGGCTCCAAGATCTTCCATCATCCAATTTACTTACAGATCTACAATAGTATGTTTACGACTTCACCATGACAACTAATCTAAGTAACAGTGTTAACCAAAAGAAAGAAACTTTCCAAACCGTCCCCTTCAAACAATGCCAAGGTTTTCCTTCATTGACAGCTCTATCCAGTCTCTTCATTGTTTGATTTACTTGTTCCATTCTAAGACTACATAACTGCTTCTATTCCTGCTCAATCGATCCCCCCCCCCCGACCCCAAGTAATCTACCAGTGTGATTGATGTGTACGCTTGCTTACTATCTCTACCAGGCTTTCTCTGACAGTCAATAATGATCTCTGAACATCAATCATTTTCACATACAATACACTCGGTTTCAAAGAGGCATATTTAAATATGGTGTCATATTTACATAAGGAGGAAGACCTTGGAATGTGAGGGGGCATGTTGATGCAGATGAGTTCAGAGAGGCATGGAGAAACAAGGTTACAGACTGCTTCTGAAGTGAATTCAGTATGGAATAGGAGGCCAGGAACAAAAGTCATATGACTAGTGGAGCAGGTTCTGGAGATTTAGGAGGCAGATTTATGAGAGAGCGAGACCCAAAAGAAGAGTTATAATAATCAATGCAGAAGACCGTCATTAAGTAAATGAGCTGAGTAGAATTAGTCCCCAGACCTTTATCCTCATGACAAACGGAAATGGTAGCAATAATTGTATTTAAAAAAAATGAGGCTTTAGAGAGAGCTGACTTTGTTCCAATCTGGAGAGTTTTGTCATTGTTTAATTAGAAGAGGTTTGTGTTGAGCTGACATTTCATCTCAGACAGTTACACAGGGAGATATTTGAGAAAGGTTAGGTGGGTTTAGAGGAAAGGAAGAGCTGGATGTCAGCTGGTCAGTGTTTGAAATTGTTATGGAATTTAGAGACGATATCGCAAAGAGTCGTGTAATATTGAATGTACAAAATGGGGCCAAGAACTCTGAAGAACACAGTTTAAACTTCTTTAATTATTGTCCGACTGTAGGTATGGACAAGTCTATACATTAAGCCTTTTCTTATCCTCTGACTCACAAAGATCAACAAATTTCTGTCTCACTTGAATGGTATGACTTTACCACTGGAGAAAAAAAAAAAGAAAAAAAAACTGTCACAGCACAAATAGATTTTAGTTTTAATCTTGACTTAGAACTTGATTTTATTAGGAACTTTAAGGAATTCAATAAACAATATTTTAGGGATAAAAATAGTTTTCATAAATGCTATTATGTGTTTGTTACCCAAGCAGCCAGATGGGCGTTTCCCATTAATTTAAAAGCTCCTATAGTATTTAGATGGAAGTATTATTGATGCAGTTAGTCTCACAATATATAAACTGTTATTAAAAGGGAGATATTTTTATCTGATTGTGAATTATTTAATGAAATCCTTGTTTCATGAAAACAACTGAGATAATTTTAAATACCACTTTACATACCAAAATAATCCACAGTGTGGCGCTATTTCTCAACAGAGTTTTATTATGAAATCCAATCCTATCATTTCCATAACGCTTTTTAATTAATCCGCACTAAAACTTATTCCACTCTGATGCAAACGCAAAAGAAAAAGAGTGTTTACATGTCCTGTGAATAGAAAGGAAAGCAGCAGCGAATATCAGAGCAGATGGATGTCACAATTACATAACATGTACAGCAGATCAGCTCCATAATGAAAAAATGTTTTGTTTGAATATTTTGATGATACTGGAAGAGATTAAACCATGTAACGCATACAAGATCATCTCAAAAGCCACCCCCGATATGAAATACTGTCTGCGAGGCTGAATATAGAACAGAAACTGAATAGAGGACCGACTTACTCATCTTCAGGTACTCATCAAACAGTCCGTAAGCGTTCATTGACTGCAGGTTGTAGTCCCGCTCCCACTGGGGGAGGCTGGCCTTGGGGATGTGGCCGTGCTCTCTCTTTAACCTCTGCCGAGTCCACCAGTTCTGGATGAGCCTGGAAGAACAATGCAAGGCGACCCAACAGACATGTCACTCCTAAAGTAGTTTGCTGTGTTTATTTAGTTTAGTGCCAACCTGCTGTTGT